GACTGTCGTCCAGTGGCGTAGCTAGGGTGGGGGAGGAGGGGGGAGTTTGAAAATCACACCGTGCCCCCACTTGAGGGGCCCCCAAATTAGTGATTTTTACATTAAATATTAAATATTACGCAAAATACAGGGGACCCAAAGAGGAAGTTAAGCCCCCTGTTATCGTCACGGTGGTTTGAACGCTCCTCGTTAAAATACTGTTATGGTGTGTGTGTGTGTGTTTCCTAGGTGACAATGATGTAAGGTTAGGCAATTGGTTGGTGGCCTTGCGGTTCCGAATGACGAAATAGGAGTTGGTGGCTCTTACAGTAGATATTAAGAATGGGAGATAATCGAGATATTTGAAACAGTTAGGACGTGTTTTCGTGGTGAGCTAGATTTTGTTTAAATATAAGCGTATTTCATTACTATAACACCTACATCTCATCCCAAGTTGAATTTGTCTATTTTGTTAATAGAATTTATATTTAGTTTTTTTTTTTTTTAAATATACTTTGTTCACGTTTTTTAAAGTTTTGTAAGCTAAAATATAATACGCTTACAGCGGTTAAGTTGCCTATCAGCAGATTAACTAAAGGCAAGCACTATCGCCTATCAGAAACACATTTGAATTTGAACTTACTTTATAACAACTTATAGGCTCAGTACTTGTATCACGCTGTCCCGACTGAAACGCCTAAGACATACAATTAATGAACTTAAATAAAGGTCATCTTAGGTAGAATGGAGTGTGTGTGTGTATGGAGGGTTATAACCTTTGACCCCCCCCCCCCTTGGAACACATGCATTAACGAAGCGCCATTTTTGGTTTTCTTATCTCCCTTTTGATTGTGAGCGTTGCGGTCCCAAGGGAAGTTACCTCTGTATATATAAAAAAAAACAACAAAGACTGTTTGCCACATGAGTTATTTCTCATTAGCCTGACTGGAACAAAAGGGGAGAGAACCACCATATGACGGTAACAAGTAACAATTCGCAAATTATTGATTTAAAAAGTATGATTGCAAATTTAAAGCTCTTTAAAATCGGACGAAAAATTGAAAATACGGAAGCATCGTTATCTTCATTCACTATTGGTGTTTTGTTTATTAAATTATGCTAAAATGTTGGTCAAAGTATAGATAGAGGCTAATCCCAAATATGAAATAACTGAAAAACGGAATTAACAAGCTATTTTATAACATACAATAAATGATATATAAATTAAGGAATTTAACATTAGACAGTACATACACAGAACCACACTTGTTTTTCTAGGGCAATCTACTCAAGGTTTATTTAATGAATAATATCATAAAACTAAAATGTTTTTTAACCTTGGTTAGACCATTAATAGACTATGCATCATTTGTTCACATTTGATGTAGTACAATCTTTAAGTTTAGAGACCCTTCAGGATAGAAGACTTATAAGTAAAGTAGCAACTATACATACCATAAACTTCAAATAGTGAAACAAAACGTTATGAAATACTCAGAAAGACACTGAAATAAAGGCACATTCCTTGTTCCATATGCTCGGCCCAGTTTGTACAAATGCTGCCTCTTCCCTAGTGCTATTAGAGTATGGAATGGGTTGCCTGAGTCAGCCAGGAAAACCAACGACTTTGTAGATTTTGAATCACTAATTCACAAAGTGACACACAAAAGACGCATTATCTTCTCTACTGATCTATCTATGTCTCGTCCTGGAATCGAACTGCTTCCCTCTGAGCTCACAGTTCCGGTCTGTCTTGTGCTGATATGTCCCGATGCGAGGCGCACTGACTCTGACACACTCTTTTTTTTTGTCGGGTCCCCGAGGAACCTCTCAAAAGCGACTGAAACGCCCACATGACCATATCCCAGTTAATATTCACGTTTTGCGTTCATAGCAGCACTTTCCAGAAGGCTTGTTTCTCGTCCCTTGACACAGCTGACCGCTAGCAGCATGCTGGCCTGTGTCACATGTGTCTTCTGATGGCACACAGGGTTTGCTTTGCCTCAACAGTTTGGTAAAGGCACAAATGAAAAACACATTTCCTTCGATCCAAATAAAGCGTAGCCTAATGATTATGTGGCGAGTCAGTCTATAGCACTGTTTCAGATCGATAATTTTTAAAAGGAAAAATTATCCATTGTAGTCTCCATTCTACAATTTATTCTAATTCGTAAGAAGCTTTACCTTATGAGAAACATTAATTTTTTCATAGGGATAATCATAATCACTTCTCTTTAAGTAAAACTTTATTAATAGTTAAACTTGTAATACACATTGTTTAGTATAACAATGTTAATGTATCCGATGTTATGAGTGAAAAAAATGGCAGACGCCCTTCACACTATCCATTCTTCAATATAGATCTATGTATCAAAACTTTTAGGCTCCAGTGAATCACAGATGGTGGAACATTTTATGATGTCTCGGGTGACGTGGGAGATTATAGACATTCAAGATAGCTGCTAAATGTGGTGTGATTTAGTTTTAATAGAAAAGAAAGTTTTATTGAATTTTGAAATTTTAGAAAGATCTAGTCTGCAGAACTCTTGAAGATATAACCCTTGAAGACAAAGGGAAAGAACCTACAATGTTTCTTCAGTAAAAGCAGTTTCTCCCTCCACCAGTGTCAGTGGTTAGGACGTAGGCGAGCCGCTGGCTGGTCACTTATTCTTTAATCCCCCCTCCTTTCCTCCCACAAACCGTTGAATTTACGAATGTCTCCCTCTTTACCTTTACCCTTACCCTTAGTCTGCTGGACCGTTGGGGCACCAAGCAAGACTTGTTGACCGTCTTTCTCCATTTCTCCCTGTCTTTTGCCTTGTTTAGAACCTCTCTCAATGGCAGGCCCGTCTATTCTTTTATGTTGTCCTCCCATCGCTTTTTCTGTCTGCCTCTTCTTCTTTGCGAGCCCCGTGGATCTTGTAATATGGCCACATATTTCAAGCATGCGTTTCTTTGCAATAGTTAGCAGGTCATCATGGGGTCCGATCGCTGCTGTAACCCTGTCTCTAATCTCTTGGTTCGTGATGCGGTCTTTGAATGTGATGCCTAGGATCCTTCTGTAGCATCTCAATTCCATTGCTAGGATCCTCCTCTCTAGCTCTGCAGTCAGCGTCCAAGACTCGCACGCATATAAAAATCCTATTTTCAAAGCAGATTAATTTACCGCTGCCCATATACAGGACAGCTGCACTCTAAATAAACGATACTATCGTTGATTTGACCACATTAAATTAAATTATTTTTTGGTTTTAATAAATTTGAATTTGTGTTATATAAAAGAGCATGCATTCTCCTATAATTCTATACCATCAGTAATGTCGTCTGATTAGAAACAAAAATGTTATTGATGTTTAATCATAACCAAGAACGTGGGAAATAATTACGGAGGTAAAGAGGGCTCTTCCTCTTGGTCCAACACCCTCTTCTTTCAATGATAAAATGTTTCAATAATTTATGTTTACAAAGCCCATGTCAGTTCACTTATTCAATCTGTCTGTCTGTCTGTCTGGTAAAAATTGTGCACACGTTATTTCTCCCACACCCATTTTCGGATGCAGTGATAATTATTTCATTTTTGTGTAGAATGATTGCGTAGTGTTGTAAATCATTAGGTACATAATTATTATTAGCTTCCACTATTATAATTATCATTATTATTATTTTACTATGTATTAAAATTGAGTGTAACAGTTGGGACTGTGTATGTTAGAGAATATAGAGGGGAGATGGAGAGGCGTGGGTTTGGAGAGAGAGAGATAGAGAGAGAGAGGCAGCACAAGCACAAACTTTAGCCTAGGCCCCACCAAAAAACTTTTTTTGCCCCCGCATATAATATGAAGTCTAAAACGAACACTGGAAGATTGGATTTGGTATAATGACGCTAATCAAAGGGTCACAACTCTGAAAAAAGTCATATACTGTGTGGCGCCAAATAGCGACAAGCCATGGGCCTGGGGTGGCCCGTGGAATCGTGGTTTAGACATCCTAAATTACATCTACCTATTAGGCAATGATGGTTAAAGTTGATCTGTAAGTACAAAAAAAAAGCATTTTCCTTTCAAGACAAAGGTGGTGTGGGAGTGGTAGATTAAGCTGAGATTTTTACCCTAGTTTTACGGATACCTGATCTAAACTTTACTAGCGAAAATAAAGCATTATTAAGCGTTGGGTGCTACAGTAGTTGGACCATGGTGTGTAACCCCTTGGCTTCAAGCCTATTTCCTTTCACAAATATTTTTTTAAATGGGAATTAAAATTGGTGTTGGTATAAGCGAATATTTCTTAGTGGGGCAAAGCTTGAACGAAGTTGATCAAAATCTCATCACGTGATAGCCAGATTACAAACATAAACAAACGTGGCATTCACATAAATTGAAAGCTTTCACACGGACGTATATAGAAACGAAGCGACTACAAACACAGAATTCACTAACACACATACGCAACGATATATCTGAGAAAGAGTACAGTGAAAGTGTTAGTGAGAAAGAGAGAATGAAACAAAAAAGGAAAGGAAAGACAAATATATTGGTTCTGTTTGTGTGTAACAGAGACAGACCAAAAACTGAGCCTGGGAGAAAAGTGTACAAAGAAACGATAAGAGAGAAGCTGAAAGAGAAAGGAAGATAAGAGAAAGGAAGATAAGAGAAAGGAAGATAAGAGAAAGGAAGATAAGAGAAAGGAAGATAAGAGAAAGGAAGATAAGAGAAAGGAAGATAAGAGAAAGGAAGATAAGAGAAAGGAAGATAAGAGAAAGGAAGATAAGAGAAAGGAAGATAAGAGAAAGGAAGATAAGAGAAAGGAAGATAAGAGAAAGGAAGATAAGAGAAAGGAAGATAAGAGAAAGGAAGATAAGAGAAAGGAAGATAAGAGAAAGGAAGATAAGAGAAAGGAAGATAAGAGAAAGGAAGATAAGAGAAAGGAAGATAAGAGAAAGGAAGATAAGAGAGAGGAAGAAAAGAGAGAAGAAGAAAAGAGAGGTAAAGAGAAATAAAGAAAAAAAAAGAGAGGAGGTTGATGAGATAATGGAAGTGAGAGAGAAAGAGAAAGAAAAGAGAAGAGATGGGGGAAGTAATGGCTGAATGGCAGTCGGAGAAGAAAGACTCATACAGAGGAAGAAAAAAAATAAACGCGAACACAACTATCCTACACAATTAACATGTGCTGTTTCCTATACACTCGCTCATTCTTAATGTTACACACTACACACTCGCTCATTCTCAATGTTACACACTACACACTCGCTCATTCTCAATGTTACGCACTACACACTCGCTCATTCTCAATGTTAAGCACTACACACTCGCTCATTCTCAATGTTAAGCACTACACACTCGCTCATTCTCAATGTTAAGCACTACACACTCGCTCATTCTCAATGTTAAGCACTACACACTCGCTCATTCTCAATGTTAAACACTACACACTCGCTCATTCTCAATGTTAAACACTACACACCTGGAGCTTCATATCTATACACAATATGTTTACTCCATGCCAGATTGTACACTATTGCATAACAACACACACATCACAGCACACGCCAACCCCACACATTTAAAGACACATCTACACCCAAACAAGACATTTACCTGCACACTCACCTTCAAACACATTGGAGCTAGCACGCTACTCACTGGCAAACACATACACACTAGTTCCCCCCATGGTGAGCTGATCTAACTCTGAAACTTTTATGCAAGCGCTTGAAAACACCCGCCTGTTCATCACCTGGTATGCATGTTTTATTCTTCAGACCAAGATGTAGCCTGAGAATCAATTTGTTAAACAGGTTTAATCGACCTGGCAACGAGCCAATGGTCTAAACTGCCCACAGGTTTCGACGTAGCAGGTCAGTGATGAGGCTTTCTATAACGCTAAGTCTCGGTGGAAGTGGCCTGCGACTGATCTTTGTGGATACAAATTGATGCACTACAGGGGGATTGGTGAGGGGCATCTAAGTCTTAATAAGTACTGATTGTAGGAACTGATAGTAAATACTGATAGTAAGTGCTGATTGAAAGAACTGATAGTAAGTATTGATAGTAAGTGCTGATTGTAAGAGCTGATAGTTAGTACTGATAGTATGTACTAATAGTAAATACTGATAGTAAGGGCTGATAGTAAGTACTGATAGTAAGTACTGATAGTAAGTACTGATTGTAAATACTGATAGTAAGTGCTGATTGAAAGAACTGATAGTAAGTATTGATAGTAAGTGCTGATTGTAAGAGCTGATAGTAAGTACTGATAGTATGTACTAATAGTAAATACTGATAGTAAAAACTGATAGTAAGTACTGATAGTAAATACTAATAGTACGAACTGATAGTAAGTATTGATAGTAAGTGCTGATAGCTGATAGTAAGTACTGATAGTATGTACTAATAGTAAGTACTGATAGTAACTGCTGATAGTAAGTACTGATAGTATGTACTAATAGTAAGTACTGATAGTAAGTGCTGATAGTAAGTACTGATAGTAAGTACTGATAGTAAGTACTGATAGTAAGTACTGATAGTAAGTACTGATAGTAAGTACTGATAGTAAGTGCTGATTGTAAGAACTGATAGTAAGTATTGATAGTAAATACTAATAGTACGAACTGATAGTACGAACTGATAGTAAGAACTGATAGTACGAACTGATTACTTACTATCAGTTCATACTATCAGTACTTACTATATTTACTTACTTACTATCAGTTCACAAAAAGAACTGCTGTTGGTTAATTTGACCACCTTGATCAAAGCTTGAGGGTTACTTCCTAGAACTTCAGAAAACTGAATTCATTCTTAGTACGATTAATAATTTTCATTATTATCAGCGAGACATAGAAATAAGAAACAGCACGTAATATCGACATCAACACTTTAGGAAAATCCTTCAGAGGCGTCATTTGGGGTTGTCGAGTGGGGCAACATCCCGAAGGCTCAACGTTAACAGAAATAATTATTATCTTATTTGTTTAATTTTTATTTTTTTTGCGAAATGTTTCCTGATCATTCTTTACGGGTTCGAAATATTACGTACAGTATAGTTACAGTACAGAACGTAATGTAGTCCATAGGCCAATAGTACAATAGGCCTACCTACGTTGGCATTATGATTTTGAAACAATAATAAGGCCTACAGCTTTTAAAAGCGGACAAGCCCGTACGGGATATACAGTCTACGCTTATTGCTGACAGGCCCGAGTAAGAAACTCGCATGGGGCGCCGGGTATGACACTTGCCCCGGGCCCCGCAAACTGCTAATGCCGCCTCTGGATAAGCATTTCGAACATATCATACCATTTGGTCGCATGTGAATAGTCGAATCAGAATAGTCGAATGAGAATAGTCGTTATTTTATGACAAAAACACGCACACAGCTCTTCAGGCTCAAGTTTCACTCATGTTTATATTACAAGTCCAGTCGTGTCACTGTCGTGATCAGTGGCTAATCTCTTTAACGGCTGACATGGACAACAACATCCGGTGTTTCTTGACTCTTATTCGATCACCAGTGGTCAACAAAATCAGAAAGAAAATAGGTATGGAAAATTAGCTTGGGGAAATGCACCACAAGTAGACCATATAGTCACACTCCCTAAGTATACCTCAACTCAAAAAAGCATAAAGAAAATGGAATGGTTTGCCTGAATCAGCCAGAAAAAACAACGACTTCGCAGAGTTTAAGTCATTGATTAAGATCATGACTAGATTGACGCATGAAATTGCGTTGGACGTAATTATCTTCTTTTTTAAAATAACTCTGTAATTTATAAGACAAGATTGGATAAGTATAACATTACCGACGGAAAAAAAAACATCACAAAAAAGAACCATTAGAAGGCCTTGAAATACAATTTCATTTTTCATTGCCAATTTCATTTTTTATGCTAAGGAGAACTTGGGTATGACTGTATATTTTGTGTGCAATCGAATAAATTGTTTGCTCTAATAATGTAGTGCTATGTATCATGCACAATTGCTAAACAATTTTCTGAAGAATACTGAAAATTAATAATGATAAAATAGACGTCTCTAAGTACTCTAGACATTGTGTTAGCGTGCACATTCTTTTTCTATTTCAAACAAATCAAGGAATCTTTTCTTATCTTATATAATACAGACGTTACTTCAAAAAAAAGAAGATAATTACGTCCTACGCGTCATGCATTTAGTCATGCACATTAACCAATAACTTAAATTCTGCCAAGTCACTGGTTTTCCTGGCTAGCTCAGGCAACCCATTCCATGCTCTAATAGCACTAGGGAAGAAGGAGTATTTGTACAAATTTGTCCTAGTATATGGGACGAGGAATGTGCCTTTATCTTTCTGTCTTTCAGAGTATTTTATTAAATTTTGTTTTTGTATTTGAAGATTATGGTTCAGTGTTTTATGTATAGTTGCTACTTTACTTTTGAGTCTACTGTCCTGAAGGCTTTCTAAATTTAGTGATTTTACAAAAGGTGTTACTCTAGTCAAATGTGAATATTCATTTGTTATGAATCTCACTGCTCTATTTTGTGTCTGTTCCAGTTTCTTAATGTTTTCTTGAGTTGAGGGGTCCCAAACGGAGGATGCATATTCTATTATTGGCCTAACCAAAGTTAAATAACATTTTAGTTTTATGTTCTTATTTGATTTATAGAAATTTCTTTTAATAAATCCTAATGCTTTGTTTGATTTTTTTTTTATAGTTTCATCAATATGTGGATTCCATGACAGTTTTTCATTTATTATAACACCTAGGTATTTTGCGTTTTTAGTCTCTGTTACTGGTTTGCCATGAATTATCTTATTCTTATTTTTAGTGGAATTAATTTTTTTTAGTTTTTTTTTTTTTGTTACTCTTAACAACTGACATTTACATTTGGTTTTATATTAGTATTTTATTTGCTAAATTTGAGTTTGTTCAGTTCAACACTCTGGCTGGCGAAAAAAAAAAGAAGGAACTCTTCAATACTATGACGGTACAAAATCAGCTGGTTCGGTGGACCTTGAAGTAGGTAAAAGTAGTTTAAAAGTAAACTACCCCCCCCTTTCAGGCCTCTGCAATCTATGGGGTAGACCATGCAAAGGTCATCTGTTTCTTTGGCCAACGGTTAACGAGCAGGGTGTCATGTGACCAGCACAACTTCCAACCGCATTTACTTTCCCCAACTAATTTCAGGTACCCATTAGAGTTGGGTGGACTCATGGGCATTCTCAAAATGCCGAAATTTAGCATTTCCAGTCTTCACCGAGATTCGAAAGCCAAGCGGTTTAACCCTCAGACAAGTGGCATAGCTAGTGGGGGGGGGGGGGGAGAAGGGGGGAGAGTTTGAAAATCCCCCGGGCCCCCATTTTAGGGGGGGGGGGGCCAAATGAATGTTTTTTTTTTTAAATTAAAAATTAAATATTACGCAAAATGCAGGGGCCCCAAAAGAGGTCAAGCCCACCTGACCCCCTAACGATGCAAAAATCCTAGCTACGCACCTGCCTCAGACCAGCTTCCGCTGGGTAACCTGCTATTAAAACTCATCCTTCAACGTTGGATAGAGGGAGCACTAAGCAATAGGTCAACCAAAGAAAAGCTGGACAACGGGAAAGAAGAGATCGGCCTCTCTCGTTATTTTGCTGACCGGGAAGAGTGTAAGGAGTTGCTGACTCGAACCCCTATGAAACAATTCAAGGGACCCATATGATGACACGTGATGGTATGGTGCTAACTACTGCAGTTTAGGCGCATATAAGGTAACATAATTTAATGCGCTATTTAGATCTATATATTAAAATCACTCGCTATAATACATTATTTAGTAAACCCCGGTTTTAACTCCTTAAAGTTGTTATAAAATTAGGTTAAATCTTAATTCCGTTATAAAGCCAACAAGCCAAAATAAAAAAAAAAATACGTTAAAAAACAAATAGAAAGTTTAGAAAAGGAAAGAACTGCACATTTACATGCATATATATCTCAACATTGTAATATGTAATTCCTTTTTCTATAGCAAACAAAATTAATTACCACTAATTAATTAACTAAAACATTAATTTTTTTTTATAAATTGGATCCGGTCGTGTTTTGGTTAGAAATATGGAGGTAATAGTCAGAAAGTTTTAAAAGCGATTCAAGGAAGGGAGTGAGAGAAATAGCATGTGCACTATTTTATCGGAGAGAAAGGCTAATAAACGGAGTGAGTTGATTCAAGTTTGGCATGAAGTAGGTAGACCAAAAATCGCTTCCACCCTATGTGTTTTATCTTGTCCTTATTTTCAAACTGAAAACAAAAGTGCAGAGTGACTAAACAAAATCCCATTGATCTTGTCAATCGTTCCAGTAACCCTGGTTCTAAACTAGAGCGACCCCCCCACGATGACCTGCTAACTATTGAAAAAAAAGAAACGCAAGCTAAAGCTCTATGGCCATTTTACAAGGTCTTCGGGGCTTGCAAAGATCTTCCTTCAGGTAACAGTACCAGGAAAAAAAAGAAGAGGCAGACAGAGAAAACGATGGGAAGACAACATAAAAGAAAGGACTGGCTTGGCATTCAAAGGGGTGCTATCCAAGATAAAATACAGAGAGGAATGGAGAAAGACGGTTGACAAATCTTGTGTGGTGCCCCAACGTCCAACAGGCTAAGGGATAGGTGAAGGTAAATTGATCTTGCATGCATACACTCTGTTAACATTGTACTGTAGGAAAGATCATCCTTAATGAGGTCTCAGCCCGCACTAGATACGAGACGCACCATGCTGACACTCTATCATTTTAATTCCATTCCCCCCTCCCCCTCTTTAACAGCGTCCTCGACCTCACCCCATAATGTCCACACTAACTTAGCCCTATCGTTATGGAAGACCGAAGCCCTATCCTTAGACCTGGCAACGACATATTGGTCTAAACTGCCCTCAGTTTGAAACCTCGCAGGTCAGTGTTCGGTCAGTGTTCAGGTGTTTTATAACGATTGGTCTCGGCTTAAGCACTCAGTAAGACGAAGTCTACATTTTATTGTATATATCTTCCACGTTAACAAAGAGGCTTTATACAAAAAAAAATAAGGCTAGTGCAATATCATTAACTTCACAAATTAATTGAGGCATCGAAGATAAGGCTTCCGCTTTATAATTAATTTCACAAATTAACTAAGGAATGGAAGATAAGGCTTCTGCAATAAAATTTAAAGAGCAATATTACTTGAGGCAATGTTCTCGATAAGGATGGGTCATTTTTTTCCCCATGGTTACATAAAACCAGTTGTGACCTACATATTTTG